ATCCTGCGGCCTATATCCCTAATGTCCTGTCTGAGTTTGGAGACCGCCGAGCTCAGGGCTTGTTTGATGTCCCCTGCGAGGAGTGTCAAATCTAACCTGGTAGGTAGTTGTTGGATGTAGGACGACATCGAGCCCGGATCCATGGAGGCCTGAGGCGCAGTAGCAGGTGGGTTAGTCGCGGTCAGCGCCATATTGGAAGACCTCGCGGTCAGATTTTCCGGCCGCTGTGTGCGGAACATCTCAGGGAATTGACGGCTCAGTTGGGTCCCGTCCGACCCAGGGGATCTGGACCTTCCGTCCTGTCTGCCTATTTTCCCCATGGTAGTCGAAAGCAGGTGATTGTAGCTTCGTTCGGGATATCTGGAGACGGAGCTCTGGAGTTAAGCGCCCATCTTCTTCAGTGCCAAGCCACGCCCCTGCCCCCTAGTATGTTTTAATTACTGTGCCAGAAGTGTGACAACACACACACACCAAAAGCTCAAGAGAAAAGGATTGTCCTTCTGTATGTAATACATAGGACCCTATATACAGTTCTGTATGAGTACATCCAGTGTATAAAGTGTAACAGTTTGGAGTATGTAACAGACAGCACAGTGTACAGAGTGGGGCGGTCAGGAGAATGTCAAGTGCAGCACAGCTCGGTCTTGGTCTGGGATGTCCGGCCTGTGTGGTGAGCGTGGTGTACGCGGCGTCACTCGTGTATGGAGCTGCGAACAGGCGGGCGTGAGAGGCGAGCAGTATATTTAAATTTTTGCCGACAAATCGACCATGAAAAACATTGACAACGTTTTCCATTGTTGATTTTAATCGACTAATTGTTGCAGCTCTATATTATTGCTGGGATTTGTAGTCCTCTATAGTTGGTGGTATTCTCCATTGCGCTGTATAATGATTATACTGCGCAATGCAGATTACCACTGACCAGTTATAGAGGAACTACAAATCCCAGCAATAATACATTATACAGCGCAATGGAGAATACCAGCAGCTATAGAGGAACAATAAATCCCAGCAATAATATATTAACCAGCCTGTATAATGTATTATTGCTGGTATTTGTTGTTCCTCTATAGCTGCTGGTGTTCAACATTGTGCCGCTGTATTATACAATGCACAATACAATACACAATACAATATACAATGCACAATACAATACACAATACAATACAATACACTTTTCACAATATATTATACAGCACAATACAATACTGTATTGTATTGTGCATTGTATATTGTATTTTGCATTGTATATTGTATTGTGTATTGTCAATACACAATACAACATACTGTATATACAATACAAAATAATACAATACAATGCAGCATACCACGTGCACTTTGTCTTTGTAACATTACATACCACTCCCACTTCAGCCAGCTCCCGATCCCGATTCCCGATACGAGTCCAACCGTGGGTCATCAAGAGAGGGTGAAATCGCCTCCTCCTCCTCGCTCGGTTCCAACTTCAAAATTTGTGCACCAGGCGCTCCCGAGTCCCTCAACAGGTCACCGTCGCCTCCAGGATGATGCCACTGCCGCCACACTACCTGCTGGTCTGGTCCGTCCGTTGCTCCGCCTCCTGCAGCCCTCGCTCTAGTCCTTCACATGCGGCTGAGCGGCCAGGGGAACCAGGGGCGGGGCCACTTACGCCACTCACTGACGTAGCCAAGGAAGGACGAGACACTCAGTGAGACTGAGGGTCACTGAGTCTGAGACGTGAGACTGCACTGCACAGGTCAGCACCGCATCCTTCAGATGCCAGCCGCCCGCCCGCAGCGGCAGCCCACACACTGAGAGTCTGGTCTCGATCGGGCGACTTTTCCGCACTGTTCCCTGGCGCCGTAAGGCAAGTGCCCATCTTGCCTTGCGCTAGCGCCAGCCCTGACTGTACAACCAGGCATATAGGATGCATAAGGCTTGGCACACACCTTACAACCATTGCAAGACTTTCGTCTTGCGATGGTTGTAAGGCAATTTAAAAAACGTACAATCTGCCTATCTTGGACAGACAGATCGTACTTGCAATGATCGCAAGCTGCGCCACCCTGAGGGGCGGGCTTCCGATGACCGCAATGCTGAACGGGCAGTGTGCGCTTGCACACACCGGCCGTCCGTCTTTTATCTTACGAACATGCTACACACCCGCCGAACATCGTACGATGCTCGGCGGGTTTTCGAACATGTTCCTAAGATAAAAGTCGTGCAACCTTACAGTAGTAGAGGTCGCATGGCTTCCACACACCTTACGATAATCGTACGATCACGGGATTTCCCGAGATTATCGTACGATTATCGCAAGGTGTGTGGGCACCTTAAGGCTGTGTGGAACATTGTAGACTATATATACGAAAATATACTCTGCTACTACAGAATATATATAAAATTTTTGGAATTTGCATAGTGGTAATTTCTCTCACCTGAGAGTACCATTCTCTACCCACCAACAGTGAAAAGACCTAGCATTTCTGCATCTTTTCCTTTCAGTCCTCACAATCAGATTGGTGGCCTTAGTGGAATTAGAATATTTCCCTGCAGTGTGCTCTGATTATGAAGTCAGGTAAGCGTATATTGGTTAAAGGACAGGCTGCTCTAAGTTAGCGGACATTACTGTTATTGTGGGACCCCCTGTAGAACCACAGAAAGTCTAACCAGCAGTTTTGCAGGGACTCCTACATAGTGGTAACGCAAAGTTGGCCACCCGCACACAGGTACAGTGGCCAAACATTATACAAACGTGTACATGAGTTCTTATTTTTGCACTGTTTATGTGACATGTCACACTTTTGGATTTAATAACTTTTGACCGACTAATCGCATCTTCCTGTTCAAATCCTTCAACAATTATTTGGCGCGTTCCATAAATCAGTGTTCCATGGACCAAATATCTGTACCATCAATAGTTTATAGGGTCCAGTATGTCTCTTCTGCAATACAAATCCTGATATTAAAGTGATTTATTTAAAGTGATATTGAAGCTATTTCAAAAGCTGACTAAATCACTTACAATATATATTGCTTCTTGATATTTAAAGGTTTTCGTTTCATGCAGAATCAGCTGCTCCCCTGGGCACTGGTCCTTACAGGGCAGCCTTCAGAAATTTCGGGGCCCCTTACACAGCTTTAGGCCGGGGCCCCCCTCCCCGCACCCCCCTGTCTCCCCCGCACCGCC